ACACGCATAACAACATACAACTGGTCGTGATAAAAAAAAATATATATTTTTAAGAACATGCCAATGCACATCTCCTATCTATTACTTACACGTAAAAATAACAACATATAATCGGTCGTTGCTAAAAAATAATTTCTTTAATAACATGCCAACGCACATAAAGACCGACCTTGATCTTAAATAAAACCTTAAGATTAGAAGTAACTGGTGCTCTAGAACTTAAATGAAATCCTAAAATGGATCTTTTTATAATATAATAATTTAGACAGTCAGATAATGAGTTGTTGGTTTAATATCGATTATACTTGATTAACTATATAATATTCACTAATATTTCTATATTTTTTATACAAAAAGACTGACCATGACTGTTAAATGGTACCCCAAAATCAGAAGGAATTTGTGCCGCTGGAACTTAAATGGAAGTCTAAGATGAATCTATTTATAATATGATAATTTATACAACAGTTGGACAAATGAATTGGTGTATATCTACAAAAATATGTATGAATAGTACAAATCATTAAATATTATATCACACTAATTTTATGAGAGAGATTATATATCGTAGATATAAAATATAAAACATTAGTGATTAGACATTACTCAGGCTAATTTTTTCAAGCCGTACAATTTTTAATTGAATGTGTGACAACTTGTTATATATTTTCAAACTGAACAATTTTTAATTGGACAGCTTTCCTATTATATGTGTGACAACTTTTTAGGTAATATATATATATATATTGCAATAAATTTATGTTTTGTGTATAAAAAAAAATCGATTTACTATACAAAACTTTGAAAATTTTTCTTTTAAAAACAATTGACAAAAATAATACCAATAAAGATAATTGGTGTATATCTAAGAAAAAAAAAATTGTATATATCTCATATAAAATCGTTCATTCTCAAAATATGCTACAATGAAAAATATATTTAAACATTAATATAAATATATTTAGATATTAATATAAATTTATATTTTGTAATTTTCGGTTTTAATAAATATGATAAAATAAAAAAGATTCTCACAAATGAGAATCCCAAAATTGACGCCATGTAAATTTAAATATTACTATAAATTTGTTTTTTTTTTTTTTTTGTGTATGTAACATATATGCTAATCCAAATCAATGATTCAATAAATTTGTTAAAATAAAAAAGAATCCTTGATAAATAAGAGTTCTAAAATCGGCTACATATAATTATTTACATAATCTTTGCCTACAAAACCACTATCAATGTAATTAAAAAAACAAAGAATTTACTAAAACAAACACAAACCGAAAATCGAGTTACATGAAAATTATTCAATTAATGCTTTATTTTTTATTTAGATCATTTTATATTATTTCTATCTATAGTAGGTAATTAATGTCTTGAGCGGAAAATGCTCATAAAATGTTCGGGTATGAAAAAATCATATGTTATTAAAAAACTAATTGTAAACAACATTATAAGTTTGCTTATTGGGCACACTACAATAAAATGATAAAATTTCAATGAAAATCTATTCCAAAATAAATTATTAAATTGACAATTCCAACAGAAATTTAAATACTATTATTTCCGTTGGAAATTTTCAATGATTCCAACGGAAATTCCAACAAAAATATTCCGTTGGAATGAATTTTTCATTGGAATTTCCGTTGGATTTTGACGATCCCAACGGTGGATTTTTCAACGGGGTGGAAATAAAAATTCCAATGGAATTTGCATATTCCAACGGAAATTCCTACGGTAAAAAAACCATTGAAATTATAGCAGTTGAAATCATCAAATTTCTAAGATTGACACTCACTCTTGTTTATCGTCATGACAATATAAATGAATGTTTATCTAAAAAACTTAATCTTTGAAATGTAGTGATCGTGTGTTATTTTTTATTTTCGTGATTGATTGACTGTTTTATTAATTAGTTGGTTTGAATGGATATATAACAAATTTTATTGCCAATCGTTATTAGAGTTTTTAAATTAATTTGTGTAAATGTATAAATAAAAAGATACCTAAACTATGAAAATTTTTTCATCTTTTGAAATCAAATAAATGACAAACACTATCTTTTAAAATAAATAATGATAATGATTATAATATTGTATTATCAAAACCGATAAGGTATATAAAATTCGTTTTCCTTTTCAAATCGATAATGAAGAAAAAAGTCCAACTGGTGAAAAAATGATATATACAAATCATGATTTTAGAAATCTGATATATACATATCTTAGCATGCAGTTTCAAACAATTTAATAATATAATAATAGGCTGAATGAATTATGATTCAGATTCATGCAAAAAAAATTTTGAACAGATTTTTAAAATCATGATATATACAAATCATGATTTTCCTTGGAGATTTATTCGGATTTCCAAATTTTGATTCCATTTTTTTGATATTATTCCTAAAAAGAAAATTGGATAAAAAAGATATGCTATAAATAGAGATTTTGTTAATTTACTATTTTTAGGCAATAATTAATAAAATTGGCGGGAAAGTATTTCTAAAAGTGAATTATGTTAATCCTTATTATATATTAATAGATTATAGATGCCATTTTGTCATTATCAACTATTAACAAAATAAATGTCGTTTTGAGTATTTTTTTTACATATTTTCCATTATTACACTCATCTAGCTAATCTATTAATATATAATAAGGATTAACATAATTCATTTTTAGAAACACTTTCCCTCCAATTTCATTAATTATTGCCTAATAATAGTAAATTAACAAAATCTCTATTTATTAGCATATATGTTTTATCCATTTTTTTTAGGAATACATTAAAACATATGGAATCAAAATCCAAATAAATCTAAAAAAATACACTTACCATACTTAATACACTTAATTTAAGAAATACACTTACCATACATATTGTTAAAATTTTTTAAAATGCAATATAAAATATTTAATTCATAATTGTCAATTAAAGAATCTTTTTAAGAATCAATCATATTTCTAATAATTGTTAGAAATAATATATATATATATTAGTATTTACGTGAAAGTAACATATATGTTACTTATATGTTTACATATAAGTTAACATATCTGTTAATCTATAGTAATATAAAGAAGTTGTTGAAAAATACAAAAATAGTAACTTTTACTTAAAAAATAAAGTGTTGACTTACGATTAGTGGAAAATTAGAAAAGAATACATGTGAATCTTTATGAATAAAATTTAAGGGAGATATCCCTAAAATTTTGGAGATTCTTAAGGTAACAAATTTTGAGATTTTTATGACAAAATTTAATTTATTTCATAAATACGAATCCTATTTTTATTGGTAACAAATTTAAAGATTTTTATGCCAAAAAATTGAAATTTTTAATTGAGATATCCCCACAATATGAATTTTTTCCATTCAAATTAATGTTTCAAATCAAACAAAAAAGTGTTCCGAGAATAATGGATATTATATTAAATATTGATAAACTCCAATCTTCAATAAATTATTTATAATTATAAATTTTGTGTGTAAATATATTGATTTGTTTTCTTAAATAATATTAAATTACATTATTTCAGGACTCAAATCTTAACTTCTTTTCTATTTTTTGGTGGTTTATATTCTTTAATTGAAATAAATATTTGACTTATTTGATTAAAACAACTTATTTTATTTACAAAACAAATTTAAGTGAGATATTTCAAAAAAAATTAAAGATTTTTAAGGTAACAAATTTATAGATTCTCATGCCATCATTTAATTCATTCATCAATACGAATCCATTTTTATTGCTAACAAATTTGAAGTTCCTTATGGCAAAAAATTGAGATTTTGAATTGAGATATCCCAACAGTTACGGATTTTTTTTATTCAAATTAATATTTCAAATCAAATAAAAAATATTGTTCCGAGAATAATGGATGTTATATTAAATATTAATAAACTCCGATCCTCCCTTAAATATTGATAAACTTCAATCGTTCAAGGAATAAACAATATACTAAAATCAAATCCATATTAGTATAAATGTGTTAGTGAAATAATATATTGTTATTTTACAAGTTAGCCCTAACATATTAATATTTAATGTTCTTGCTAAAAAACGATGATTAAAAGTGGTGGAGAACAAATTATAATTATATTGTTTTTATAATTAACATGTTGATTAAAAGAAGTGGAAAATAGATAACTATGTTGGATTTTAGACTTAAACGGATAGAGTTGTGAAAATAATTTTTTCAAAATCTATGTCCCATGCTAAGGTACGTAGTAATAAAATATTAATATAATTAACGATTTGTGCAGGGAAAAAATTGTATTGACAAAAACAGAGATTTTGAAATCGATGATGATAATAATAATAATAATAATAAAAGTTCTCTATCGTTCTAGCCAAAAAAAAAAAA